TCATTGTTTTGGATAGGAATGTCGAAAGACATAGATAACTTCATAAAAAATTGTAATTCTTGCATAAAATATAGCCCAGAAAATCAAAAAGAACCTCTTATCCAACATAAAGTTCCTATCAAAGCATGGCAAAAATTAGGAGTAGACATATTTCATTTATATTCAAACGATTACTTATTAATTGTAGATTACTTTTCTAAATACATAGAGGTAATAAATTTACAAAGTTTAACAGCAGAAGAAGTTATAAAAGGACTAAAGCAATGTTTCTCAAAATTTGGTATTCCATTAGAAATACAGAGTGATGGTGGTCCTCAATTTGCTTCGCAGAAGTTTAAAGAATTTTCAGTGAAATGGGGTTTCAAACACAATTTTTCCTCACCATACTACCCAAGAAGCAATGGCATGGTGGAGAGGCATATACAAACTATAAAACAAATGTTAAAAAAATGTGTTGATGATAAGAAAGATCCTTATTTAGCATTATTAGAATTGAGAAACAACCCAATATCACAGTATATAAAATCTCCAAATGAAATACTAATGGGTCACAAAGTTAGGGGCATATTAATTAATCTTACAAACAATAATAACCAAAACAATAAACAAATACGGTCTCAATTAATAAAAAGACAAGATAAACAGAAACTTTATTACAATAAACATGTTAAACCTTTAAAAGAATTTAAAATAGGAGATAAAGTTTTATTAAAAAACCATAAAACAGGAACTTTTGATAGACAAGCAGAAATAATAGAACATGCAAATAAACCAAGGTCATATAATTTACTAACAAAGTCAGGTAACATAATCAATAGAAATAGAATTCATTTAAAAACTAGCCCAAAAAATTATATATCTAATGAAAGTAACAATTTCGATTTAGAGTTTCCAGATGAAAATACCAATAATATTGAAGATAAGAAAGAGCAAATAAATAACAAAATATACAATCCTGTCAACGAAAATAATGATTACAATTTAAATAACAATAATCATGAGGATACTATTCATCCTAACATGTCCAGCAGAGGCAGAGTCATAAAACTTCCTGCTTATTTAGCTGATTATAGTCATACATACAAACATTGTTAATAAAAAATAGTTTACTTTAGGATTTAATTTTTATTAAGTCCTAAAGACTTGGGTGTTAATTTTTATTTAATCTTAAATAAATCATTCTTTACCATTCATGTAAAGTAGACCTAGTACATAATATAAGTACATCAAATTAATATGTAAGTTATGATTATGATTCTTAATACAGTGTTATTTGTAAACTTGTTTTATTATAAAAAAGGAAGATGTGACATTATTGAATATAATCTGTGTCTATATTATAGTTATATAATCTATGTGAGTTAATCTAGGGTAATAAGTGTGAAATAAAAGACGTGACGCTCTAAAAATAAATTGTTTAATAGGCTAGTTGACCCTTTTTGGAAAAAGGTTTTAAATGGTTAATAAATGTTCTATTAGACCGAAAAAAAATGTATTGTATTTTTTTTAAATCTAGAAAGCTATAAATCTTTAATTTTAAAATAGACTTTTCATGGACATACAAAAACGCTGTCGGCCATTTTAGTCTATAGATTATCTATGCTATGACGTGAACTCTGGTAAATAAAAACTCGTAAACACGTAGAAAATTACTTAAAACTGAGTTTATAATAAAAAAAAAAATGATTTCTAATAAATACCACGAAAAATAAAGTAATTATCATTACTGTATTGTACGAGAATATAAAAACACATCCTTGAAGACTCCAGGAAAGTTGTGGATTAAAGTGCCGAAAGAAATTAACCTACGCAACTTTATTACACTTATTCATATGTTGTATCAGTTTTATGTTTATTACTACACTGTAATACTAAATGCACTGTACTTACATAGATGCCTTGTCGTTTCTCTGCTCCGCAGAGCAGTAATCCATAATTAGTTTTGTCAAAAAAAACTAAGTTTACTGTTTTTTTCTTTCCTAAAGTTAAAAGTGTTTTAAGATAAATTTAGTCAGACGAAAGAATCCACCTACAGTAACACGCGAATGACATTTAATTGTTTACCACAAGAGACGTAAAATCATGGCGGATGTGGCGAACAGCGTTTTTAGTGTTTAAAAAATATAGACGAAAAAATATTTTTTTAAATTAAATTTCTACAGCAATCTTCTGCTTTTATGAAGTGAAATCGATATATTTAGGTTCCTTAGACCAAATACTTTAAGAAATAAACATTTATTTAATACAATTCGACATGAGTAAACTAGCCTATTTATAAAGTTTAACATAATATGATACGGGATATCTTCGGTGTAGTGTCGGGTTAATTTGGCTCTTGGGTCGGTCGCTTTTGTGACAGGTACTTTTTTAATTGCATGCAAATAATTAATAATTACAATAAAATAATAAAAGGACTGGAAAAGGATAGTTAACACAGTCAATTAAGTTCAGTTTTAATTTGAAAAATTAAATAAATATTCAAAATATTCAATTAAAATCACTACTGAATTTAAGTTATTAGTCCATATGTAATTAGCACTTGTAAGTAACTAAAACACGTTGTGTCTATATAGAAACTAGAAACATGTGGATAAATATTATAAATATGAAAACAGTGATCAGAGGCGACGAGCGTGCCAACATTGTTTTTGACAACGCGATCATCTTATGGAGCTCCGTGGATCGTTCAAAGTACCTTTCGAACAGATGTCTAATAATGGTGGATTATTAACCACTAAGTGGTTAATAATCCACCATTATTAGACACTAACATTCATAACGCGCCCGCGGCCAACTTCATGGTGTTACTATTATGTTACAGTGATGCGCGCGCATCTCGAAATTTCACTCACATGATTTTTTCATAACGCGCCCGCGGCCAACTTCATGCTGTTACTATTGGGTTACAGTGATGCGCGCGCATCTAAAATTTCACTCTCATCATTTTTTCATAACGCGCCTAAAGAAGTATAACTTCAATACATACGTACTAACAAATAACAGATGTTTATGTTTCCGAGCTAGGTCTTCGTATAGTAAACTGCTAAGTAAGTTCTGCTTACCTTGCTTAAGTTTAAGGCGTTCTTTACTTGATTGTCTTTTTCTATTAAAAATTTGTCGTAATTATTTTGACTGCAATGACCTCATAGAACAGATTTATGTTCGAATTCTCAGTAGTTCAAAGCGTATAAGAGATACCTATGCTAATAAACTATTTTTTCCAAACACTGCAGAACGAATGCAGGTGAACACGCACCCCTACATCAAATAATGAACTTTTTATTGACAACCTATATGATTTTGATCTGGACTTGTTTACAATGTCTGTTATTCAATATAAAAACGCCATTACTGATTGTTAACCAAACATTTGAAAATTGTGTTTTGTAACTTTTTTTAGTTATACCATCGATTTGCAAATAGAATACATATTGCAAACTTATCATGTTTTATAAAAATATAATCTCTGTGTTGTGATATATTTTTAGTGGATAATGGTGTTGGTTGTGTAATGACATCAATATATTTAATAGTGTTACTACATTACGTACAATATTGCACAATTGTTAGTTATCCTAAATAAATAAAAATAAAAAATAAAAACAAGGAAGTTTTCGAGATAAAAAGTGTCCTATGTCTCCATACAAAATTTTATCCAAATCCGTTCAGTAGTTTTTGCGTGATTGCACATACACATATACAAACTTTCACATTTATAATATTAGTAGGATTATTATAATGATAATTATGTAAAGCAAGACCTTAAACTGCATGAGAAATCGTTGTTACTCTACAGGACAGAAGCTGCAGTTTGAAACTATACGTCATCCTCCGTTCTCGCCAGATCTTGCTCCAACGGACTGTAATTTTTTCGTGATTTAAATAATTTTCTACGGTGTAAAGAATATTTTTCTCAAGAGGCAGTACAAAATGCTTAATCACAATTTAACGAATCTAGATCCCCAGTTTTATTCTATTCCGATTAGATAGCAACAATGTATAGATTTATTTTTTAAATCATTGAAATCGTATCAGACACCTTTAAGTAATCGGTGTACATATAAATAAAGTATCGTCAAAATTACATAGTAAAAGTTAACAAAGCTCATAAAATAAAAACTACCTGACCAAACAGAATTATTTTATGGGACCAAAAGGCAACCATACCGCATGGGACAAGAGGATTAACGTAAATTGGATCAGAAATCTCTGCGTAATCGGTGTACATATATAGAAGTGATCTGTTTTAAAGAAAATATAAGTTTGAAATAAAATTCGAATTGTTCCGATTTCATTTCGGCTGTACCACTAACGCGAATTTGAAATTTTAGATAAAAATTCAAATTCGGGTGATGCAGAATTCCAGAATCCTTTTCAATATTTTCTGTCGGACATACCGTATCTCTAATACAAACAAAAACAGAAAATAGGACAAAAACGCTTGTGTGATTGGGCGTGGTTATTTGGATATTAAAAGTTAAGACCATTTGCTATGAGTACACAAACTCAGATTAACGTGCATTTAGGGTCAAATGAAGGTATCAAAACGTTTTCCAGCTGGCTAGAAATTAAATCATGAAAATGGTTTTCATAGATTTTACTTTCTTGGCCCAATATTGCACACTTCCGCTCGATTTCCACCTGGACATGTAGTTTTTTAATGCCACACGAAATGTGATGCTTTCCCTGACATAAGGCTATTTTAGGAGTCTGGAAACACTGGAAGAATTTTGAACTTCGTTCAGAAACAGCAACAACTTTTACTCCCTAACGTCAAGATAATCTATTTCTTTATTTAATTTGTCATGCATACGCTCGGTCTTGTTAACTTAAAATAAAACGAATTCATGATTTAAGTTGATTTATTACTTTTTATTACCAATTTTCATAAAGATCTTTTGAAAATGAATTTGAACAAAATAGAACAATTCAATATCTTTCTAAAGATGATCGAAAAACTTTAAAAAAGAATAACGTCATCTTTGACATTAGAGAATTTCAGCTTCAACTAATTTCTGACAAAACAATCGCAAAACTGCGCAAAACTTAACTCAAGTGAGCGATAAACTGCGAAAGAAAAGAAACTCTTGACTTAATCCAAAATAAAGTATTGTCAAAGTATTTGCAAAATTTGACTTCATTCTATAAATTCTGGATTATATTAAAAAATGTTTGCTTCACGCGTAAAACTACAACACTGTGTTTTAAATGTTAATAGGTTATATTTCGGCTCTTACAAAAACGTGAAATATTTATCTGCATGTCACAATTTAAATAATAACCGGTATGGTATGTAAATATTAATTTCTATAAAAATATATTTTAGTTAGTTAGCTTCCGGGGCTCACCTTTCCATTATATGTAATTGAGTTGCAAGCTGAAATTTTTGTCACGCAAGGTATTAACTATTAAAAACACATACACGAAATCTTTTTAGGCGGAAACGAATAGAACTCGAGAAAAAAATTATTGAAAATTAATATTTTTGTAGGTTATGAGTCAATTTTGACAGCAATTTTGATCAGTGCTGTTATTTTTTTATGCAAAAATAACATGTTTCTCGTTGTCTATGGTAAATATAAGTTTATTATGTTGGTACTATTGTCAAAATGTGACAATTTACCGCCATTAATGAGATCTGTCAGTGTTTGTGTTCGTCGCAGTTGAGAGCTTTTTCGTATTCCTGTTGATATTAACATCGTCTGACTACCATGGCATCCTCAAAGCCTTCGGCCTCGAGTTCTGCTGTCCCTTCGCCTGAAGAGTCGAGTGCAGTGCGAGTTTTGGACTCTAATGAGTCGCTTGTGTGGTGATACTTCACACTAGGTTAGGTTAGTGTTGTGACCTTAACGCGCGAGCCGAGCGAGCGAAGCGAGCGTGCCGCGGCAGCGGCCGGCGAAGCGCCAGAAAGAAAAATTCGTTAATAGAGACTTTTTCTACAAAAAAATTAAATATCACCTCTAGGCCCTGGAAGTACAGTTTTACCTTTAAAACCCCTCTAATTTTTTATAAATATCATTTCTGTAAAAAAAAACGCCGGGAGGGGGGGGGGGGGGTTACCCTTCCCTCTGATGGGTCTTCCCTAATACCTATCCCCCTGAAATTCCACTACATTTAACAGATTTAATGAATTTTTAGGTTAGGTAAAAAAAAAACTGCATTTCCGCTAAAAATCTTTTATGGCGGAGGGGTCGGGAGGAGCCCCCCCTCCCCCTCCCCTACAACTTACCCCGAAATTCAATTACATATAATGGAATTAAGTACTGCTTCCGGCTCCGCCAGCGATTTCAGTCGCGTTTAATGTTTTTTAAAAACTAACTTAAAATTTTCGTTATTAAAAGTACGTCTCAAACGTCTTTGCGCCAAAATTAATCCAAATCTGCTTAGCCGTTTTGCGTAAATGAGTAACAAACACTTGCACATTTAAAATATTAGTAGGTTAGTTAGTGTTACAGTAGTAGACTAGATTGTCACTGTACATCAATGTAACTGTAAAGTATTGACTGTTTATATCAGTCTTAATTTTTACTGTATACAGATCACAGGCTTTCAACAAATGTGAGACTCTTCAGTACTGCAACAGAGCAAGCAGAAATATCAAAAGGAAATATTGAAAAGAAAGAATTTCAGGCTGAAACAAGAATGCTTCTGGATATAGTGGCTAGATCATTATATTCAGATAAAGAAGTCAGTAAAACATGTAGTTGAGCTCTCTTTATTATAAGTGATTTTAAATATAATATATTAAATGGTTATATTTCACAGGTGTTCATCAGAGAATTAATATCAAATGCAAGTGATGCATTAGAAAAGTTCCGTTATTTGTCTGTGAGTGGAGCTCCTGACTCTAATAATTTGGTAGAAACTGATCGTGCTTTGGAAATAAAACTCATAACAGATAAACAAAACAGAACTCTTATATTCCAGGTAAGAAATAATTTCAACTTTTACTGCTGTGTAAAAGAGGACCTTATAATTTATTTAAAATCATGCTGTGTTCATTTAAATTGCACACACATATAACACACAAACTACTCACATTTTAATGATTAGTTAATAACTTGTTACTTGAAATAATGAAAATTATTCTCATATTTAAATTTACTTTAATAACATAATTATATTGTTTTTTGCATGTTAAGGAACTTCAATGTGCACATTTATTGTGTTCACTGTCTTTGGTCCAATAAATTTATTTCATTTTCATTTTGAATTGCAGGATTCTGGTATAGGTATGACTAAAGATGAGCTTACTTCAAATCTTGGCACCATTGCTCGCTCTGGGTCAAAGTCATTTATAGAGGAAATAAAAAAACAAGGTGCAGAACAAGCTAGTTCTATTATAGGCCAATTTGGTGTTGGATTCTATTCTGCATTTATGGTAGCAGATAAGATTGAAGTATTTACACGTAGTAGCCAGTTAGGCTCTCCTGGCTATAAATGGTCATCTGATGGGTAAAACACAATTGTTTTTTATTTATTATTGTAATGCTTCTCTGTACCTGCGTGTATCGCCATGAAGTTATGTATGCCAAAGTTTCATATATTTTGATACTATAAAATTTATCACAGTAAAGTCTGTGGTCAGCAATAAACCAAGATGACAGTAATAATTTACAGACATTCAACTACAGATGATAACTTTCTTTATTTCTATATGTTTGTTAAATATTATATAATGCGTTTATTGAAATCTAAAAGCTTCATAATTATGGACAAATTCCAGCAGCAATTCATTGGCATCAGCAATCCACTCCATTTTGCTATAAAGATATCATATAACCACCAGCATGCATCTGAACTTAACTGGCTTAATGAACAACGCTAGTCTGACCACATAGCGCATTGTGTAAACACACTTAAACCGCCTCACGAGTATCGCACCCTCACCCTGAATGTTCGCCATGATAGCTGATAATAGCCGGTTGCATATACACATATCATTTCGTAGCGATACATGCAGGTGCAGCCCCACAATAACAGGAGGCAATGATAAAGTTATTCTCAAGTTTATCATGGTTGTAGATCAGGGACATATGAAATACAAGAAGTAGAAGGTGTGCCAGTAGGAACAAAAATTATTGTACATTTAAAAACTGACTGCAGGGAATTTGCTGATGATGACACTGTCAAAAGTGAGTACTCTTGCTTTTTTTAATGACTATAACTGTATGTGAAAGAAACTTAATTTAATGTCTCACAATCTGTTTCAATTTCACAGGTATAATAAAAAAATACAGTAACTTCATTGGAAGCCCAATTCTATTAAATAATGAACAGGTCAATTCTATTAAGGTTTGTTTGACAATTTATTACATCTACAATTTTGACATACTATTGACTGACGATGAAGTCCATTACATTAACAAACAATTTCAGCCCCTTTGGTTAATGGAGCCTAAAGAAGTGACACCAGAGCAACATACAGAATTTTACAAATTCATAAGTAATTCATATGACAAGCCACGTTTCACTCTTCATTATAAAACTGATGCACCTCTTAGTATTAGATCAATTCTTTATGTACCTGAAGGCAAACCAGGCCTCTTTGAGCTTTCACGAGATTCTGATGTAGGAGTGGCACTTTATTCTAGAAAAATATTGATCAAAAGTAAAGCTGAAAATATTTTACCTAAATGGTTACGCTTTGTAAAAGGTAAGTAGCTTTAGTAGTGATATTTTGTAATAAAGATTTTTTTGGCCAACTTTTTTAATACTAAATTTTCACAGGTGTTGTTGATTCCGAAGACATTCCATTAAATCTCAGTCGAGAGCTTTTACAGAATAGTGCATTGATAACGTAAGTACATTACAGTTTTCTAATAGAGATTAACTAGCTGTGCCCGCTCTGTAGATGTCTAAAAATATTCCCAACCCACCCTTATCATCTACAGACATCACAAATATACTACAACCTATTCTCAGACCTAACTAAATTTAGAAAATTCATCAAATTCGATAAAGCTGTTTCCGTGGAGTTCGACAACAACTGATACAAATATTGTGCCATGAAATTTTTAAATATTAGACTAGTGAGTGCCCGTGAGTTCGTCAGCGTGGTCTTATTAGTTTCCCATACAAACTTCCACCCCTCCAATCACCCCCTAAACGCTGGAGACGGATACCCGATTCACGCAGCGCTGCTGCTCTATGAAATAACATGAAACAAACACGCGGACCGGACGTCCGGTCCGTGATCCTACTTAACGCAGCGCACATCGTAAAGGATCTATAGGATAAAAACTATCCGTCCTTTCTCGGAACTCCAACTATCTCTAAACCAAATAAATTTCATCTTAATCGGGTCAACGGGTTTTAGCATGAAGAGTTAACAGACCTCCATGGCTGAGTGGTATGTACGCCGCAGTGGCGGACTAACAAGGGGCGGAAGGGGCGGCCCGCCCCGGCCCTCCGATCTTGAGGGGCCCCAAATGTCTCCGAGTTCCCCTGATCAAAACCTAAACATGACTTTAAAAATGTGCTTAGTACCTACATAATTTCATCAAGATTAAAACACTATAGCCATCTACACTTTTTACGCGGTACTAATATCCTTTTACCTTTGCTGAACGTGTCCAATACGCTGAGGGAATGCTTTGTAGCGGGTACTACCTTAAGCATTCATGAATCACAATGCCGCGTCAATGTCAGGTGTCCATGGAGGGGTACAACGAAATATCCGAAAAGTAAATCCAAATGCACTCTTCAGTCTTTGTTCTAATCATTCCTTGAATCTTTGTGGAGTTCACGCATTTGTATGCGTTCCTTCCAGCGTCACTTGTTTTGGAACAGTAGAGAACTCATAATCGTTGTTTTCGTCATCTACATAGAGATGGCAGTTGCTGAAAGAGAAAACTGGAAAAATTTAAAACGTTTATCGGATACTCGCTGGAGCTTTAATTACGAGTCAGTAAAAGTTGTAAAAGAAAACATAGAGACAGTTGTAAGTAGTTTGGAACATTTTCAAGATCCAACAAAAGCAAATCTAGATACAATATCAGGAGCAAGCCTGCTCCTGCCGGCTGTTTGTGATTCTACCTTTCTAACCTATTATACAATTCTGGCTTTCTGGAAGAACTAACTAAAGTTCAAGAATATTTGCAGTCTCCAAAAACGAGTCTTGATACAGGGATCACCAAATTAAACACCTTGTATGAGTATTTAGTGACCGCACGAACCACCATTGAAGACAATGCTGTAACTTTTGTCATAAAAAAATGCAATGACATGGACATCAACATCGAGAAACGAGGAAGAAGGAAGGTAAAAAGAACGATGCCAGGTGAATCAGCTCGTGATGCTGGATTATCAATTCCAGAAGAAATAAGTCGGTCAATGAATGAATGCATAAATCGATATATACAAGAATTGTCGACACGATACGGGGCCATGAAAGAAATCAATAATCTTTTCCAAATTATTGAAATAAAGCTTATGCTTGAAGCTTCAGATGATGCTCTGGTTTTAGCAGTTGATAATCTGATACAAAGTGATGATGAATTTGACAAGGAGCAAGTTTCCCAAAAAATAAAAAAATACCGCAGGCATGTAAAAGCTACCGATACGTTGCTGCCAATCGGAGAGCCCAAGAAATCCTTTAATTTATAATAAAATGGGCCTTCAGTGAATCGTTACTCTGTAAATTGCTTATACTTCAATATAGGTATTTCTTGACTACTTGCATCTCGGTTGCATCATGCTATAGGAGTTTTTCGAAACTTAAACTAATTAAAAATTATCTTTGATCTACAATGGGTTAAGAGCGACTGATATTAATCTAGCCGTGCTTTCAATAGAAAAAACCAAAGAAATCGATTTCACAGAAGTTAATGAGGAGTTCAGTAAATTTAAGCCACGAAAACACATATAAAACGCTAAAAACTATCTTTGATTTATTTTTGTATTTTTTTTGTCGATCGATTCGTATTTGATTTTCTCACCCATATCCATTCCATTTTGTATGTATGTATGTTTATTAAGCCGAAATAATTTAATTCTAATTTAAATTTCACTTGCTCGATTTAACGAAATAAACATAAGAAACTAATTTTTGTTAAAGCTGGGGGGCCTCATTCTGCTTTGCCGCCCCGGGCCTCTGACGGACTCAGTCCGCCACTGGTACGCCGGGTTCTTCTTCTTCTTCTTGCTACGGGCGTTTCCGCAACTCGACGTCCTTATGGCGCCTGTTTTGCGTGAGGAGGGTGTATGGCAGGAATCACTCCAGGCAGCCCAGCTCCTCCAGGAAGGCCCCCAGGGCCTTCACGTTGGTGACTGCCTCTTGAAGGTTTCCCGGTGAGCCGAGGTATTTCGCCCGGTATTCGGCCACTCCGTTGCATTCCAGCAGAACGTGAGTAGCTGTTTCTTCTGCCTCCATGCATCCTCTGCATAGGGGGCTGTCCGTGACACCTATGTTGAAAAGATGTCTGTTGAAATGTGCATGTCCAGTAATAGCACTTGTTACCATGCGCAATGTAGGTTTGCTTAGCTGTAGGAGAGTTTTGGAGAAGGCTGCGTTCACCCGTGGCAAAGCGAGCTTGGTCTGCCTGCACGTCTCCAGATCGAGCCAGTGTTGCTGGTGTAGTGCGGCAGTGTGCTCGGGTTTTTATTGACGAGACAGCTTACCGGTATCGGGACGATTGGTTCAGGACCTGTTGGGGTCGTATCGGATCCCTTCCGGGCCAGCTCATCCGCAGCGTCGTTTCCGCGTGATCCACTGTGCCCCTTGATCCATTGGATGGTAATAGAATTGCTCGACCCTACCGTGTTTAAGGTTTGGTGGCATTCTTGTAGTAAGCTCGATCTGACTAAACAGGCATCTAGAGCTTGTAGGACTGATTTGCTGTCAGACAGTATTCGTATTTCCTGTCCAGGAAGGAAGAATCCTTTCAAGGAAGGTAACACCTTCCTTGAAAAGATCGCTCTTGCCGCGAGTGTGATGCCCATACATTCAGCTTGGAAAACTGTGTTGTACGGGCTTAAGGGGAAAGCGATGTGTATATTGAGGTCCTCAGAGAAAACACCCGCGCCCGTGCCCGATGAGGTTTTAGAGCCATCGGTGTAGATCATGAGAGCCTCGTGTGTTACCTTTGGATCGTTGTCATCCAGTAGATGTATTCTGTACTTTTTGTCAAATATGAAGGCGGGTATTATTTTGTCACATGCCGCATCTATGAGCGGAGTGTTTACCCATTCCTTCAGTATACCGTTGAGATGCCTTGCTCTTTCGAACCTTACCAGTCCAAACTTTTGTAGTCTCAACGCTGTTTTAGCCGCTTCCTGTCTTATGTAGATATGGAGCGGTGTGATGTTTAAAATAACTTCCAGTGCTGCGGTTGGCGCCGTACTCATGCACCCGGTCACCGCGCTGCATATCTGCCGCTGAAAGCTTTGTAGTTTGTTGACACAGGTAGTCTGGATAGATCTCGGCCACCATATGATGGCGCCATAACTTACCATTGGTCGTATGACTGTGTAATATAACCATAGGAACAGTTTTGGTGCAAGGCCCCAACGCTTCCCTAACATTTGACGGCATTGCCAAAGTGTTACACTGGCTGTCTTGATTTTGTGTTCCACATGGTTACTCCAGTTTAGTTTGCTGTCAAGTATAGGGCCTAGATACTTTACCTCCTTCGACAGTTGTAGTGTGGTACCAAACAGCTTCGGCAAGTTGAAAGCACCTACGTCACGTTTGGTTGTAAACATTACCAGCTCTGTTTTAGTTGGATTAACTGTGAGGTCGTATTTCCTGCACCAGCATTCAACCAGTTTCAAAGCACTTTGCATGGTGTTACTGTTGCTGCTGGTGAAGTTGGTCTTATCGAAAGCACCCTCTGTATCAATGAAGGTTCCTAGGCAGATAAGTTTATTTTGAAAGGCTTCTTCTATCTAACCGACTAACTGATGGAGAGCCGATTCAGTAGATTTACCTGAATTGTAGGCATGTTGGTGTTTATGTAGTGGGGCATTGATTAATGCTCCACTGCGTAGGTATCTATCGCATAACCTTTCCGTTGTCTTAAGTAAGAAGGTTGTTAGGCTAATGGGCCTGAAGGATTTAGGGTTAGTATAGTCGTTTTTACCCGGTTTGGGTATGAATACTACCTTGACCTCCTCCTGGAGGCTGTTCTCCAGTATCTGATACGTTTCTTGTACTTAGCTTTAGTAGCTTTGTAGTTGTCCCAGTGTGTCGTTGCGTATATTCACTTCCTCACCTTTCCTCTCAATCTCTCGAGCTCCGGCCACCACCAGTGGTGTTTTCCGGATACTCTCGAGTTCGGGAGTTTAAGGGGGCAGGCCTCTTCGTAGCAACGCGTTATGCTGTCTGTCAAGTGTTATACTTGTTGTTCTAGCTGCTCCGTGGTTTCAATTCTGCCCTTACCGGAGTTGTTTCTTAGAAGGTCCGCCAATAGTTGTGCGTAGCGGTGTTTATCGGTTTTCCGGGGATACCTTTGGGATGTAGGAGATGGAGTTTCTACCTGTAGTGTAAAGCGGATCCAGCGGTGATCCTCCTCATGATGCCTCATCGGAGACATGCCAGCCAGATATGGCCGTTGCCGCTTTTGGTGTCGCGAGGGTCAGGTCTATGATGGTCTTGCACCGTCTGCCTACGAAGGTAGGTTCGTTGCCTGTGTTGATTAACTGTAGGTTAGTAGTCAGGAGGAATTAAAATAATTAGTTACCTCTGCTGTTGCTTTGTTCCTTTCCCCACACAGGATGATGGGCATTGGAGTCTGTCGCGATGATCAGTTCTACGTTTTCCCGAACACAGAAGCGGACTAGAGACGCAACGTTTTCTGGTGGGGCCCGCTCGCTATCAGGCATATATGCAGAAGCTATCATCAGGTCACAACTGTTATTATCTTGGTTTAGGGTCAGTTTAACAGCGCAGAGATCTCTGGAATAGAAATTAATTAAAGGCTGTGTTCTGATGTTTTTGGAAATGTATATACAGGACCTTACGTCGCTAGTAGTGGCTTGAACGAGCTTACCTCCTAAGCTGGAGAGTCCTCGCGCCATGCCACTCCTAATCCACGGCTCCTGGATTAGTGCGACTGCTGTGTTGTTGGTCTCCAACCACCGCCGAAGCTGAGCCGTAGCGGTTACGCTGTGGTGGAGATTTATTTGCAGTATGTTTGCACTACTGCAGAGGGACGCCATCGTCCTGGCAGACGACGTCCTCAAGCCCCAGCCAGTCGAACTCCAGGAGACATGTCCTCACTAAGCGGCGAGGACGCCATCTGCGAGTGCGAGCCTCCCATTTTCCCGGTAGAGCCGAAGGCCTTTGTTAGGGTCGGCCTTAAGGAGTGACAGGATTCAGGATGAGGGAGGGGTTAAACGATTAATTGGAGTTGGAAAGAAGGGAATACGGGTCGCAGGAAGTGTCTCCCATGATGTTAGAGTGCATCAGTGGGATAGCATCACTAAATTCAGCTACGAGGATCCCAGGGTAGGTGTTAGTGTACGTTGCCTGTTAGCAGATCCAAGTATTACCGGGGTAAACGGCGTGGACGTACGAGTGACACTTGACGGTAGACGTGAATTGCCCAACAACGTACACTTAGGCTCACATCAGCCGCCCCTCCCCCAAAATACGCACGCCCACACACGCACAGTACGCCGGGTTTCTCTTGTACTCGAGAAGTCCCGGGTTCGAATCCCGACGGGGGCAGATGTTTGTGTGATGAATACGAGCATTTTGTACTTGTACTCCAGTCATGGATGTATAAATGTATTTCTATATAAATATTCTCATATAATATGTATCAGTATATTTATTCTTTCCGTTAACGTAGCATCTCATAACACAAGCCTAGAGTGCTTGCTTTGGGGCTAGCTAGGCTATTTGGTGTGAGTTGGCAATATTTATTATTATATTCTCGCATTTATGATATATGGATAATATTATGAGCTACTATTAAAAAGAAGGATTTATAAAGCTTTTTATTTTCAGTAAACTAAGAACTGTTTTAACAAATAGATTTCTGAAATTTATGATTGAAATGGCCCAAAAAGATCCAGTGGGATATGAAGCTTTTTATAGAGACTATTGCATATTTATGAAGGAAGGAATTGTAACCAGCCAAAGTGCCATAGAAAAGGTAATTTTTATTTCATTATTTTATAATGTTTAGTTACAAAATTAATTACTTAGTGATTTTTATTTATTAGTAAATAATTTTCAATAGAGAACACGCATGATTTTTTAGTAGTTTACATCGTCTTTATTTTATGTAGTATATAAAAATAGCCACTTAGCAACTTAGATTAAAACTAAAAGGGAAGATACGGTACGCTCATACTAGCATCAAATAAAATATCTCACAAACGCACACATCTGTAACTGAGCGAGCGATCAAGACAAAACTGTACCCCTAGCACGAACCATTATCGAATTCGAATAGTTTGCGAGTGCGAAATGTCAATGTCAATTTTTGTATGGGAACTTAAACAGCAGCGCCACAAAGTACGTAACGAGAACTAAAAAACAGCACACATTTGACAATAACATTTCGGACTCGCTAACGTTACGAATTAGATACTGTACGCTTCAAGTAGTATCATTATATAATGAATAAAGGATGAAGGGCTTTTGGTCAAGAAAAAATAACAACATGCAATATATCATTGGAATGATTTTTATGTATGTACTTTAACTGTTGTTCTTGCGGGAATTCCTAAAGTGCTATGTGAAAAAGTTATGACGCAATTAAGCCAGCCTTCATTCACAAACATATAAATAATAATACAGTTGTTATTGGTTCCTAGACAGGCTTTTGTATTCTTGCACGTTCTCCTTTCTAATTGTAAATATAAAACATGTAATAAAACACTTTGTGAATGGGTATATAAGCCCTAAATAAACTGATATACACTCGGCGTCATAAAAATAGCACCTCCGCGAAAATAACTGTCAAGCGTTATAAACCCTTAACACACGCAAGTACCCCCACCAATATTGGTGTCATTAGAACGCCCATAAAATAAAATTAAAAAAAAAACATTTCATTAAAAAAAAATATTGATACCACAAATATAATTTTAAAAAATGCCAATTTTGTTCCTCAAAAAGGCAACGCTACCTTTAGTGGGTATAAAGGGTTCAAATAGGTTCATTGGGGGTTATTCGCTATCCAACCGTTGAAGAGAACACACGAGAAGATCTTTCACAAAAAAATATCACCTTAAAGAAAGGTGGATACCACTGCTGATGAAGCCGCTCAAGTGACTGCATTACTGCAATCAGGGATATACGGCAGTGTGATGTCGCTCGGTTCGAAGAGGCAAGGGGGGGAACACTAGGTTTTAGGTTAGTTTTAAGAACCTTTTTATTTGTGTTATTAATCTGTTTTTAATTAAGGACTTTTATTGTTTTGTAAACTTTATTGTTTTCTGCACTATTCCAATAATTTTTTTTTTTTTTTTTTTTAAGTTTATTTAATGGGCTTTCAAATGACACCAATATTGGTGGGGGGGAATACTTGTGTTAAGGGTTATAATAACGCTTAAAAGTTATTTTCGCGTAGGTGCGATGTTTTTTACCGCTGAGTGCAGATTGCGCGTTCGAAGTTAGATTGCAATCGCGGAGGCCCAGTAAAGGGTCGAAACGTCAAGAAAGATTAAAAGAAATTTAATAAAAATCGTGCATTTACCCCTTTCACAAACTGTTTTATTGTAAGATTGTGCCCAAAAACATAGCAAATAAATATAGTTAGGTATTAAAACATGTATATTTCATTAATTCTATTTATTGATGTGTAACGTCTTTCCTCTCGCTTTCCTACAATTTGTGGGAGAGATTTCGTTAAAAGGGGACTTAGTGTGTAACAAGAATTCGCGAAATTGCGCACGATTTGATTTTAGAACATAATGTTCACATGTGTGTGTAGTAGGTTTTATTTCTGTTTTTACTAATATAAGGAGAGGTTTCAATTGTTACACACGCTCGTTTTTTTTATTATTATTATTCTTTCATTTATTCATTCTAGGAAGAAATTTCAAAACTGTTACGTTTCGAATCATCAAAATTAGAAAACGGCACAAGAACGTCGCTTTCGGATTACAGCGCTCGCCAAAAGAACGATCAAAAATGTATTTACTATTTAGCAGCTCCAAGGTCAGTGCACAAAATTCGATTTAAGCAGATTATTTATTTGATTTTAGCTTACATTAAGGACCTTTCCTTCCAGACTCCCGACTTTATTTGTGACCAAAAAATATGAGAGGGTCTGAAATAGCGATATAGCATGTCTATTATATTGTCCATAATATACACTAAACAGCAAATAAATCGGGTCACTTGATACCTCGGAACTCTGATTTGATTTTCTGAAATCCCCTTATTGATAAACGGGGAATAAGCTTAGTCTAGTTACACCGTGTTTTGTTCATATCACTCAAGAGCCGAATGAACAGAGTAACTCATCCAAGCTTCTTCTTCTTCTTGCTGTGTATGGCCGGAGTCACTCCAGCCAGCCCAGCTCCGCCAGGAACGCCCCCAGGGCCTTCACATTGGTGACTGCCTCTTGAAGGTTTCCCGGTGAGCCGAGGTAATTCGCCCGGTATTCGGCCACTCCGTTGCATTTCAGCAGAACGTGATTAGCTGTTTCTTCTGCCTCCATGCATCCTCTGCATAGAGTGCTGTCCGTGGCACCTAAGTTGAAAAGATGTCTGTTAAAATGTGCATGTCCTGTGATAGCACCTGTTACCATGCGCAATGTAGATTTGCTTAGCTGTAGGAGAGTTTTGGAGAAGGCAGCGTTCACCCGTGGCAAAGCGAGCTTGGTCTGTCTGCACGTCTCCAAGTCGAGCCAGTGTTGCTGGTGCAGTGCGGCTGTGTGCTCGCGGATTTTATTGACCAGACAGCTTACCCGTATCAAAAAGCTCATCCAAGCTTATTCTCCGTTTATTAATAAGGGAAGGGGGTGAAAGTATAAAAATTACAACTAACAAAGTTATACCTACAGAAAGTGATGATCAATTTTATACTTTTTGTGAAAATCGACTCAGAGTTCTAAGATACTATTGGGTGACCCGGTTTCTTTGCGTTTCATTGTGTTTTTTTCTTATTACAAGCTTCCCCTAATAATAAAGTCATTCTTGACTTTATTTATCCATTAGTCTCCACACGTATCTCAGCCACGTGCAAGTGACCTGCATCCGTCCACCATTTTACCATGGGAAAATAATTCATTATATAACTACCATATTTTGCCGTGTGATTTTGGATTCGTCCGACTGAGCATGCTTTCCAGAATATTTGTATAAAGTCTTGGAATACGTTACCACTCTTCTGCAAAGCTCCGTAATATTTTGTGGAGAAGGTTACACTGATTTTACCTGCCACTTTAGGATATTCCAAACATACTCTAAAGAATTGAGGTCGAGAGTTCGAGCTAGCTATCTAAATGAGGGTAGCCCAATTCTTGCAACATATTTGTTTCTTATGTTTTCACGCACAGCACTCATTTAATAAAACTAGTTTCAACGGGTTGGAGTTAGTTTAGTTTTAGTTTTTTATTTATTTCTTGCAAAAATATTGTTTTAGCAATGTGGTACTTCCACCTGGCCCGGCGCTTTGCCTGGCGGCTAGTGATCTTAAAGCTAAGAACTCCCGGCGCGAAAAACTCCCGCGCCCACCGCGTCTGCGGTACCGCAATTCGCGTAGAATGTGAAATTGTAGGTAAAACGCAAAAGCAAAACTCACAGCGCGATTTGCACCCACAGAGCCGCAGACGCGGCAGGTTTCGCCCGATTTCGCAGCCGCGGCGACTACGGGGCCGCAGAAAACTGCGGTCTCGTGAGTTTTGAAATTAACTGGGTGCGGAAAAACCCCTCCGTGAGTTATTAACCTAACCGCGAATTCAGCGGCCCTGGGTTCGAATCCTGGAAGAGTAAATGTTTGTGTGAGGAACACGTCCAATTTACCTAACTGATATATGTACAATCATATACATATTATAGATCCAGATATGGTATATATCTCAGTATGTTTTTAAGTTTTCAGCAAATGGGCAGTGGCCCTGGACGCACTTTTTTAAAATATGCTCTTGATGAGACTGTTTTAATAAATTTATTTGTCTCTTTTAGTCGTGAACTGGCACAATCGTCACCCTATTATGAATCTCTGAAGAAACGTGATGTTGAGGTTCTGTTTTGCTACGAAATGTATGACGAGCTAGTACTACTTGAATTAAAAGAGTTTGGTGGAAGACAGTTAGTATCCGTAGAAAACGACATGCAAAAAGATCCTGCTGACACACCAGACTCTGTTATCGGTACGTTTTCTTTATATGTTTAAAACAGTACGAGTAGACTTCAGGAATAGAGGCATCATTTAAATTTTAAATTCTGTCAAAGCAACGTGTTGTCATATTCTAATGCACTTTAATCATAATAAAAAAATATAGACGCCTCCAAGTGGGACCGTAAATGTCTTTTTGGGTGTTTTTATTGTGATAGATTTATTAATATGGTATTCAAACCTTCCGTGGGTCCTAACATACTATACTAGTGTATACCAGCAACTCCGTCTGCGTGGAAAATATACTTTACTATACAGACTTCCACTCTCCCTTAAAGGGTAATTTCACCCTCATAAAGGGTAATTTCTAGGATAAAAACTATCCTATTTTAATTTCGGGCTCCTCGGTGCTTTGGAAAGCACGTTAAACCGTTAGTCACGGTTGCATCTGCAATCGTTAACATCTACCAATCCACACTCGGCCCGCGTGGTGGGTCACAGCTCACTGCTCAATCTCCCTATGCCATCCTGAGCTGGACTGAGCCCCAGCAGTGGGGGACATTAATACACTGACGATGATGTGATCATGCTACGGGGACGGGTGTTTGGTTGTGATATCGTCCATACCACGCAATGCCCTTTTTTGACTCTGGTGTCGATTCTAGCATGATTCTTTAAACCTAAACTTGAATTTGACAACAGTGTGTCCTTGTCATTCTCTATACAGTATGAAAAAGAGAGACAGCTGTTAAATTTAGTTTTAAGTTTAGATAATCAACCCAGAAGACACCACTGGGTGGTATTAAGTGTACTTTTGTGGAACAACTATTTAATGTTCTCCCTAAAGAATTGAGAACCATTTACAGTCCATATAAATTCCAAGACAAACATAAAATGTTCTTATTGAAGAAGTGTTACTATTCCATATAGTCCAGGAGCCACCAACCCTGAAAGCTCCGTGATCACGGATTCTAATATTTTTAAAAAAAATAAAAGTTAACGTTTAGACGAACAAGATTTGCTTGGTCGGCGTGAATTTGATTGGTCGGAAATATTTTAATTAAATTATTAATTATTAAATTTCCATGTTTTTTTTCCGTCATCACGAATTTTGATAAATTTTATATAGAATTTAGGGTGAAATATTATGTTCAACAAGAAAAAATCCGGCCTACCAATGATTTTTAGCCGGAAAGGTCACTTATACCTATTTCAATGGTGTGATAAGGGGTAAAATTTATTAATTATCACGAAAACCTTTTTTTTTAATTCACACGTTTTAATGTCACATTTATAACTATCTTAGTATGCATGCTTACAAACTGCCGAAAGTATCGCGCATACCAAATTTTATTATGTGAGTGAGGATTATACTGTTATAGATTTCACTTACTTGATGACATTTCTTTTAGAGTCTCCCTTCTACCTCTGGTCTCTTCCTTAAGTTTTTAACTATTTATTATACTTATTAATATGGAAAAGAGGGAACACAGGAAAATTTTAATTTGAGTTGATTATATAGTAAATGAAGGTTGATACAAAAAATATGTTCAATTCAAGTTTATTAATCAATTATCATCTACATCATTATCATCAAAATTATCATTTCTCTCTTCTTCTGATTCTTCGCTTTATTCCTCATTCTATTGGCAACTTAATATTTCCTTAACCTTTAACGGTGCTGATGGGCTAATGTAACACAATGGTTCGAGTTTACTGGATTCATTTACTTGCCATCCACATTAGTCATTCCCAAGTAGCATTTTGCCACATTGCGTTTACAAAAACGGTGCGTAATATTTTTTGCGTTAAAGTTTTCCAGCATCGTGGAATATTAATTGAAAATCATACCTTTGTAAAAAAATTCTTTGTCGGTTGAACTTGCAAATTTTTTTAAGAATAATTCAAATCTTGCAACATTAACATCATTATTTTTTACGTTATACATTTCATTTGTAAATCTTTGGACTAAATCTGTCTTTTCTTTATCCTTTATGTCTTCCGGATTTGTCAAATGCTCAAACATGCTCTGTTATTCTTCATTTTGTAACAGGAGGTTGTAGGCTTTAAGTTTTCCTTTACGAACAAAAGCTGCTGTATAATCACAACCTGAAAAAGCAAGGTAGCCCGGAAGACTCAAATGTCGAAATGATCTAAACCCCCAAAATGCTGTAGGTATGCTGTGACCTTTTCGGAGTAAAAGAGAAAGACCTATGGAACTTTGACATAAATTCTATGTTACTCTTATCTCACTTACTCTTGGAGCAGTCTTATGGACTTGAAAAGAAACCGGAGTAAGAGAGTTAACACTATGTAGCCCTGTCGTAGAACAACCTCACTTTACGGTATTGTGTATCTTTGAGGCAGGTAAATGTTAAATTCGTAGGGAATAGAAAGAGACGAACTCATGCAAGGTTTCAACTTGAACCAAAAATCTGCCTCACTCACTCTTTACAGAAATATAGAAACCGTTAAAAAGCGAAGAGTTAAAATTTGGTATGCGCGATACTTTCGGCAGTTTGTAAGATATTTATAAATGTGACAATAAAACGCGTGAATTAAAAAAAAATGTTTCCGTAATAATGGATAACTTTTACCCCTTATCACACCATTCGTAACGTATAGGTATGCGTGACCTTTCCGGCTAAAAATCATTGGTAGGCCGGATTTTTTCTTGTTGAACATAATATTTGACACAAAATTCTATATAAGTTTGATCAAAATCCGTGATGACGGAAAAAAATTATGGAAATTTAATAATAAATAATTTAATTAAAATATTTCCGGCCAATCAAATCCACGCCGACCAAGCAAATTTTGTTCGTCTAAACTTTAACTTTTAAATTTTTATTAAAAATATTAGAATCCGTGATCACGCAGCTTTCAGGATTGGTGGCTCCTCGCTTAATAGAAGAATATTTAGATGACAGAAATTTAAATCTAATATGAAATTTCTATGACATGTTTAAATTATAGTCGATTTATTTCAAATTGTATGCTGCCATTTTAATAATATTTAATTTTATTAATATTGCATGAAGTAGTTATTTAATTGTAAATTGTTTGATAGACTTTGAAATGTTATTTTTAAAGAATTTTTTGAAATTTTATGCTAGTCATATTTAATGGATTGTAATTTTTAATTTTATCTAATAATTTTATTGTAAATTGTTTGTAATTTCCAATACGATGAAAATTGTGTAAGGAATAAATGACTATTACTATATTCACCAGCCAGTAGACACCGCCGGTCATTGTATTTGTTTGCTCAAGTTATTTGCAGGGTAACATTACACAGAAGTCAGCACTAGTACATGAAATATTTATTATTCTTTTTTTTGTAACAGGAAGTGAAAGCTTGCAACAGTCCCAAATTGATGAGGTCATATCCTTCTTGAAAACAAACTTGGTTGGCAAAGTATTCGAAGTTCGTACAACACAAAGATTAGACACGCACCCTTGTGTTATCATTGTGCCAGAAATGGCAGCAGCCAGGCATTTCATCCGTACGCAAGCACAGAGTCTTAGCGAAGAAAACAGATTCGCTCTCTTGAGACCGCAATTGGAAATCAACGCCAAGTAAGTGTCTTCTCAACTAAGGCCCAAGCACGAATTTTGATAGCTCTGTAATCGCATCTTATCGCATCGTCAAGGTTTCTATGAAGACTAACCAGTTCCTATCGGACGTAAGCCATCAACAGCTTTTCCATACAAAATTTGACGATTATGATACGATTACGCAACTATCAAAATTCGTGGTTGACCCTCTGATATTAATGTGTCATCCTATTCTGTGAATATCTATATTCCAATGTTGTTTATTTCAGACATCCGATTATCAAAAAACTTCATAAACTAGTCTCTACTGACAAGGAACTTGCAAACATGGTCGCACAACAGCTGTTTTCAAATGCAATGGTAACTGCCGGCCTGATAATGGATCCAAGGAATTTGATAACACATATTAATGATCTTTTGGTTAAAGCTTTAGAGAAACATTGAATATTCTTACTGTTACTATGTTTATTTATTTGATAATGTTAATAATAAAAATCCTACATGTTCCAAATTGCAGTTTAACATTCTACTACCATACAAACTTTCATCACTTATTCCCTTCAATTATTATTTTGCTACGCAAAGTAACCTCTGCCCTTCTTATTAATCCTTTCACGGACTTCCCTTATACTTAAATTACTCTTTGGGACGTACTATGGAGGAGCTCAATGGCTCAGGTGGTTAGCGCATTAGGTCTGCGATCAATTCATTGGATGGGTGACCAAAAACTGATTACCCCGACCACCTCCGTGCTTCGACAGGCACGTTAGCCGTTGGTCCCGGCTGCATCTACATTCGTTAGGACCCACCAATCCGCAATTGGCCCGTCCGTGTGATGGGTCATGACCCAATACCCTATTGCATCCATAGATGATCCATAGGGAAAGCCTGTGCTCCAACAGTGAGGGCATTAATAGGTGTTATAATGATCATACATTTTAAACCGGACAGTTGTAATAAAAATATAATTTATGAAGATGGAACTTTATAATAGACTCCAAAGTTCATTTTACCTTGTCTCATACAAAGAGAACCAACCCGGGCCCAGTGAGATAGAACAGACCGAGCCCTTTTGTCTTATTCTCACAGCATACCAGCTCAAAAATATATAGGTAATTAAAGAAGTGCTATAAAGTAAATAACCGGTGTGTAAAATTTTAAAAAAATGTAAACAAACACGATGAAAGGTCATTGACCAATGCACTCCCCGTAGCATCTTACCATGAGTGGGTAGCACAATTTAAAAAAAACACGCGGTAAAAACGTGTTATACATTAAATCACGTTTTTTATCGCGTCTTACTGTCAAACTCCTTATTAATTTGACAATTGAGCGTGATAAAAACGCGTTAATATCATATATAATAGTGCTCAGACTAGAGGGGCAGGGGCACTGAGCAAGTAGGGGTAGGTAATGCATTTGAAAGTTACATTTTATTTCTGAAAATTAATATAGGACGTTTCTCATTTTAATATTTTAAATAAAATGTAGAAAACATTCATTCATATTATCATCGCAGTTCAAAAAACAAAAATTATGTGTTATCACCACGAATAGTATCGGAAAGACGAAACGAAATGAAAATATGTCATTATTTTTTACTGTAAAATGGGCGCCTGAATGTTGGTGAACTCGGTGCCTCAGCGATCGAAGACTTAACATGACAGAACGAGAGTCGAACTTAATGTCGAGATGAAAGGAATAGTTATAGGTCATTTCTCTCATTTCGTGCAAATCACGTGTTCGTGAAGATTATGGCGAACCTTTTTTTCAGGATGAGCGTTTATAACTTTAACATCCCAAAACATACAATATTTAAAGATTTTTACGTTATTAAAGCTTATACAGCTTAGCTATTCATCTAAAAAAAATGATTTTTTTTTTATTATTGTATGTTTTGGGATGTTAAAGTTTTAAACGCTTCTCCTGAAAAAATGATTTTTTTGCATAAGTGACAGTGTCGCACCGGAGGTGCGATATTATTACAGATTGCACTATTTTAATGTCAGAATTCATAATAGACCTTTTAAGGCATACTATAATTTTCAGATTAAAATATGGCTAAAACGAAAACTAAAAAAACTCGCGAAGAAAAAGCTGCGCAAGCAAGACTACATAAAAAGAAAAAGTACGAGGACATTAAAAACGATCCTGAAAAATATGCAATACAAAAGGAAAAAGAGAGACAGAGATACCTGAAACGGAAAGAACAAAAGAAAATAAAGCTTATTGCTGAAATGACACCACGAGAAAAAAGAGCACAAAGAAAAAAATGGAATGAAAATAGTAAACGTTATTTAGAAAAAAAGAAAAAGGAAAGAGAAATACAACAGATGCTCATTGATAATTCACCTCCAACAAGTGATAGAGAAGAAACTGCAGATGCTGAACAAGATCCATTAGAAGGACCATCACACCAATTAGTAAAGGAGCCTAATATAAATTGCAAAAATGTGAAATTAAGGATAAATTAATAAGAAGACTTCGTTATATTTACCGGAGAGATATGAGTAAACTTAAACAGGAGAAAGAAAAAGCTCTTAAACAAAGGAATGCAATGATACTTAAGTTGCGTAGGCAAATAAAGAAAAACAGAGTAAAAGTGCTATCAACAGAAAAAAAAGTGGATAGCTTAATAAAATCAGTTAATGTAGATAAACGAGATGAAGTAAAAAAGAAATTATTGTTTGGAGAAATCATATCAAACAATTTGAGAGATGGATTTAAAGTTTTAAGCAAGAAAGAAAAACGAGAGTTTAGTGAAAAAGTTATGAGGGACAAAGACCAGTTTAAGAAGCACAAGGTGTTAAATAAAGCGTTTAAATTTACAGTGCGAGATAAAAATAAGAAAGATTACTACGATGAATCATTCATGGATTCCGACAAAAAAATTAAATTAGACGTAGAAGAATTTTTTGAAGACGACAGCAATACTAAAATCTCTCCTGATAAAAAAGTATTTATCACACGAAAAGGCATAAAAAAACAAAAACGTTATTTATCTGACACTTTGACTAATCTTCATAAAAAGTTTATAAAAGTTCAAAACAGCAATATTGGATATTCTACGTTCTGTAAATATCGACCATTTTGGGTTCTCTATCCAAAAGGCTCTAATCGTAATACATGTGCTTGTAAAATACACGTAAATTTTGATTTATTGGTCAAAAGTCTTAACAAAATATGAATTACTAAAGAAACCAATGGAACAGCTGTATTGGAAAGTTTATGTTGTGATATAAACAATGAAGAATGCTTAAATCGAACCTGCGAGATATGTCGCAATAATGTAATTAAATATGAAGAATTTAGTAATGAAGAAAAAATTAACTTTTACCAGTGGTGCGCAAAAAAAGAAAACTACTATGTAAAAGGAGAAGAGAAAACAAAAATAACTACCGTAAAAACTAAGTTACAAGATTACCCGAAAAACATTATAACAAATTTAGAATTTTCACTGAATTCATACCTTAAACATTGTTCTAACATCGTTGCCCAATACAAGAACATTAAATCTATGAAAGCGACAATGACTACCAAAGAGGTTATGATCCACATAGATTTTTCTGAAAATTACTCAGTAAAATATAATGAGGAGATTCAAAGCTATCATTTCGGCGGCAGTCGATTGCAAATAACGTTGAATACTGCGGTTGCGTATTTAATTGATCCTGAAACAGGAATCATGAAGACATACAGTGTTTGCAGTATCAGTAAATGCAATAGACATGATGCAAGTGCGATATGGGCACATCTTATACCACTTCTTGCTTACGTAAGAGATACCGAAAAACATTATATCACCTATGATTGATACAATACATTTTGTATCTGACAGCCCTTCAAGCCAGTATAGGAATCGATACATTTTCTTCGTTATTAGTCAACTTAAAAATGATTTCCCAGATTTAAAGTTTGTAACTTGGAACTATCTAGAAGCCGGGCATGGCAAAGGAGCACCTGATGGAGTTGGTGCTGCCTTAAAAAGAACTGCAGATCAAGTTGTAAGGTTTGGTACTGATATTGGCACTATGGAAGATTTTTGGAAGCATATTCAAGTCAAGGTGAAGAATGTCAAACTTCTTTCTGTCTCAGAGCAAGATATTGAAGAGAGACGAATTCCCTCTTCAGTTCCAGGATTCCGTGGGACGATGTTTGTGCATCAAGTTCTGTGGTCATGCGATAGACATCAAATAACGTTCCGAAAACTTAGTTGTTTCCTTTGTGAAAATGGTAAAATATGCAGCCATAAGTACCACCTCGGATTTATGAACTTACCTAGTAATTATGAAATGTTCGATGCAGAGCATCTAAAACATTTCATAAATGAAAATACAACACATGAAATTCTTCAAGAAATAACAACTCCTCAAACTTTTAATAATGAGGTCCTGTATAAGTCAACCACTGAAGCGCTACAAAATATGAAAACCACATCAAGTAGTGCCAAAAATAAGAAAATCACTATACTCTCTGATGTGAAATTACATTGGACGAACACTTCATTTATTGGAAATAAAATGAAAAGAAACGGAAATAACAATTTTCAACTTGATTTCCAAAACTTTGTTTCTAGCAATGTAAGAGCGATCCCAGAAGAAGAAGAAATTAATACCGTCGGTAGTTCAGACAGCAATAGTATAAGAACTATACAGAAAAAACATCAAACAATTAAGAAAAAATACTTTGAGCACTTGGATGATAGCAGCAGTGGAGAAGACATAAATAAGGACTTAAAAATTTTAAAGGAAAAATTACACATTACATCATTTTTTGATGATTCTGATGAAAATATTTTTTAACCCTTAAATTGTCACCCTTAGATTCCTTGGGTATTTTGTGCTCAAATTTCGGATTTAGGTCGGAATTGGGATAGAAAAGAAGTAAATAAAAACAATATCAAAATATTTTTAATTTTTTATTGTGTTTTTTAATGTCACATAAAACGGACACTGCCCATTATATTTGCAGTTATGGTAGCAACATAGTAGCAATATAATAAGTCAAATTATAATCAGGAACATTCTAGAATCAGCCTTTTAAAATATTACCTCTTAAGATAATTGTTCAAGTTCATATAGCTCTTTTATAAGAAGCAAGATGGCGCTGTAGCAATTGTTACTCGCACTATGGTTTAAGTTCCGAAGTTTCACATAATAACAACTTTAGTTCGTTATTTGGTTAATAGATGTCACGTTAAGTCCTTGTAATCGCGGTATAGATGCTGCAGTGCTTTTCTATAAGTAGTTTCCTATATGGATAGATATAAGATCAAGGATTCAGTACCAGTTCAAGATTCTGTTTGATTTGTTATGGTTTTTAAGAATACATTAGTTCAAGTACGAAGTTCTATCATTTCAAGGAATCCCAATTCGCCGAGTACTTTTGCTGACCCTTGGTCCCAAACAATGGTCCTATATTCGAGCCGGATTTAGATGAAGTAGATCACCCAAGTTTTGAGAAGATACGGCAGGTGGCGTGCCGATTAGTGCTGTACGCTGCCGCTC